TGAGGACTCCCATGGAAAAGAATGAAGCTGGATCTTTACATTTACACCATATACTCAAATTCACTCAAAATGGACTAAACACATAAATATAAGATGTAAAACTATACAGTTCCTCAAAGAAAAACTGGGGGAGAGGAAAAATACAACATTTTATTTGGCAGTGATTTCTTGGGTAGGCCACCAAAATCGGACGACAAAGGAAAAGTCCATGGTAGACAAATGAGCTATCTCAACCTATACCTTTCTAAGCATACAGGGCATGATCAACAATGAAAAGACAGAGCAGAGAAAAACACTCGCAAATCATATATCAAACAGGGAATCATATCTAAAAGATATAATTAATCTACAAGTTAGTACCAACAAAAACAAACTCCAAAATCACAATGAGAAAATGGTCCAAGAAATTAAATAGATGTTACTTCCAAAGAAAATATAAATGGTGAAAGCTCATATGAAAACTTGGTCAATATCGTTAATGAATAAAAAAGCAAATCAAAATCTTGATGAGGTATCACCTTATACTCAATAAGATGGATGTTATGAAAAAAAGTGTTGGGGTGCTGGGTGGCTCTGTTGGTAAAGAGTCCAACTCTTTGTTTTGGCTCAGGTCATGATCTAACACTTTGTGGATTTTAGCCTTGTATCAGGCTCTGTGTTGACCAGCGCAGAGCCGACTTCTGATGCTCTGTTTTTCTCTCCCTCTGCACCTCCCTTGCTTGCTCTCTCTTTCTCATCAAAAAAATAAATAACATTTTTTATCCATGTGATTCTTGATGTAAGTAGAGAAAAATTTAGGACTCTTACAGTATAAATGAGACATGGTGAGGGACCATAAAGGCAAGTAGGTCTCTACATTTTACTGAAGCTGCTGTGGGTTGTGATAGACTGTGATCTATGAGTATCTACTTATCTGTATAAAGATATATAGTATCCATATTATTTGTATAAAGGAGATTAGAGCCTATATGTACATATATAGAACATTATGTATCTAAAGTTTTTATGAAGAAAAGACCTATATTACTACATGCGATGCTCCGTCAATGAGGTAATGATGTAGAAAAATATAACCTTCACTTTTATCTCACAGCATCAGAAATATAATATCAAAAAAATAAGATCTAATTGGATCATAAACCATAATTAAAAGCTAAAAAATAAAAAAATAAAGAAAAACGTAAAATAATGTAGGAAAGGAGCACCTGGGTAGCTCAGTCAGTTGAGCGTCCAACTTCAGCTCAGGTCATGATCTCACTAATGGGTTCGAGCCCCACATCAGGCTCTGTTCTAACAGCTCAGAGCCTGGAGCCTGCTTCAGATTCTGTATCCTCCTCTCTGCCCCTCCCCTGCTCACACTCTGTCTCTCTCTCTCAAAATAAATAAACCTTAAAAGAATTAAAAAATAATAATATAGGAAAATACTATAGGGGACGCACCTGGGTGTCTCAGTCGGTTAAGTGTTTGGCTTCAGCTCAAGTCATGATCTCGAGTTCATGGGTTGAGCCCTGCATTAGGCTCTATGCTGACTGCTCATAGCCTGGAGCCTGTTTCGTATTCTGTGTCTCCCTCTCTCTCTGACCTTCCCCTGCTCTCTCTCCCTCTCTCAGAAATAAATAAAACATTAACAATGTTTAAAAAATACTATAGGAAATTATATTCATGAACTTGGGCTCACTTCTGAATTAGGTCCATCATAATCATGGTTACACAAAAAACGCTAAGTAGGCCCATGGTAACATTAAAATTCAGATCGACTCCAATCTGAGAATATAAAACGCATGTCACAGGTATTTGCATCTAAGAGCTCAAAAGAACTCATACCTCAAATATGACAGAGACTTCGTCGACAAAGTGAAAAGAGGACACCATACTGGAGAAATGAGAAGAGACACACTCCAAGACTTCTCGTTCTCACAAAGGAGCACACCCTTAAGAATTACAGCCCCAAAATGGTACTGATTATAACCACCAGGACTTATCAATTCATTTTACTGAGACTCCTCACATCTGGATCAAAGGACTATTTGGTACAATGTATGCTGACACAATACAATAGAATACTGTAAGGATAATTTAATATATTGAAATATATACATATCTATGTATATATCTATGTATATGTAACTCAATTTCATACATATGCTTACAGAGAAGTGTAGCATAATTATACATACATACAATTATCTTATATTCTACATTATTATTTTATTACGAAACCTATATTATGTATATTCCATAAGTACACTATGTAATATGTGTTTATGTATAATAAATGGTTATAAATAAGATAAGTGGAAGAAGATGTAGAAAGACTCTTCATAAGATAATTATTCATAATACCCATGCAGTACAAAGGAAGTACATTTCTGAGAACGGTTTTTAAAATGTCATATTCCTATGAGACAGCAGTGAAAATTCACAAACTATAGACAAATGTGTTAATATGGACGCATTACAATAGCATCTGGGTGAGAAGGGAGACACTCTTAAAACATGCACACGGAATAACTCCATTGATATAAAGACCCCAAATAAGCTGAGTTATTTCATAAAATGAAAATAGACCCGATAAGGGCTCTACACTTGTCTCATGATGTAATTTGTAATTGTGTGATCCTAGCTGTTTCATAAGCAATTAGCATAATCATATATGTAGTTTCCTTGGTGTGTTATAAAATTTAATGTAAGGTTTATTTCAGGCAAAAGAGCATTTCTAGAAGCGCAGCTGTCTATGAAAAGCAAGAATTGGAAACTATCAAATGTACATTAAATGTACCAAAATATAAATAATGTGTCATAGAGTGAAACCATGGAATATTAAAGCCTTTAAAATAAATAAACTACAAATACATATAAAACTGTGAATGAACTCTACAAGCATATTAACTGACAAGCTTTATTAAAATTATTTTTTAACATTTATTTATTTTTCAGAGACGCAGAAACAGCGCGAGCAGGGGAGGGGCAGAGAGAGAGCGAGACCCAGAATCTGAAGCATCTCCAGGCTCTGAGCTGTCAGCACAGAGCCCGATGTGCGGCTCGAATTCACGAACCCTGAGATCATGACTGAGCCAAAGTTGGAAACAATTGGCAGAGCCACCCAGGCGCCCAATTAACTGACAAGCTTTTAATACAATCTGGAAACATTTGGAAACTTACCATGTCCTTTCCATCATCAGAGTAGAGCAGGCTAGAATTCTTAGGACGTCCAACTCTCATTCCATGACTTTTTCTCAGGGCTAAAGCAATAGCAGCTGTTGGAATACGTGAGCCACTCCCTCAGGCAGTGACAAGAGTGACACGCTGGAGAGAGATTATGAGACATTATCCCAAAAGCTGTGACTACTAAAAAATGAAACTTTACATACTTGTACGTGTATACACTTATGTGTCCATAACATGTTCATATAGGCTCACAAGCTGCTAAAAATAAAACAACACACACACACACTCAGAGAAGAGTCAGGCTTTCATCCCCTAATTTATGAGCACATATAAAGCACCACAAAAATGTCCACCTCTACATGTGCAGAGAGTCACTGAAGAAAACCACGTATAAAATGATTTATCTGTTATCGTGTTACAGGAGGAGGAAATGTGAGGCAAGTGTTAACAACGGGCAGGGCGACTTTAGATGAGTATTTCTTCCTATTGTTGCCTCAGAAGTAATACTCTCCTATAATCATGATTTCTGAAAGGTCTCTGAGTGATTTTCTAACTCACTTTTCCCAAAAGAATCTATTATCCTCTCTGCCTATTTAACAAAGAGATATTACTCTATGTTTTATCTAATCTATCTAATCTTATCTAAACTAATATCGGAATTTGCGCGGGATGTACCTTTCTGGAGCATTGTTTCCAGGGATGTTTTGTTCTGCTCTGGTCCTCCAGTAGCTAGAAAATTAAAGCAATCCTCTAAAAATATGATATTAAATAAAATAAACCATAATAAGTTCAGTGTCTTAGATTAAAATTGGGTGTACTATTTTACCAGAAAAACGTAATAAAGTAATGAACATGAGGGGGCAAATATTTCAAAAGCCTAAAGAATCAAACCTCATCATTTCTTGCACTATTGGGTTTAAGCAATTTCAAGAATTAATTCATCTTTCTCCATAAAGCCTCTTGTATAACATGCCTTTGAGTTACGAAATCTGAACATATATTTAATACTCCCTAAAATTATTCTATTTCTGCTTTAGATGAATTCAGAATAACTATTGAACATTTAGAGCATACATGCATTAAAATGAGAAATTGAAATTCAAAAAGTTACACAATACATCCAGTAACATTAATGTGAAAAATTCCCTTTGAGTCATTCAAACACTATCTTACAGGAAATAACAGCTATTGTGACCACGGTGGACATCAAGATGAGGCAGATGATTCCCAGGATCCCAGCAACGAACTTCTCTGGACATGATGGTGAGTAGTAGGAAGAGAAATGAAAACACTCAGAAACGATGCACAGAGAAACTCATTTAGGAAATTTACAAACAAGAGAATCAACGATACACAGAGAATCACATATGGTAACTTGCACCTCAAACCCATCACGGCCATTGTGATCTCTCAGAATACACCAATGCATTCCATTGCAACACCATATTCTAACCTCCAGCTCTGGTCCTCACAAAGGGAAAATATGTGAGATCATTTCCTACTCTTTCCCTACACCCCTGCACCCCAACTGCCCATCCTAGAACAGGCATACCTGTCTGTACTACATGTTTTACCTTTGCAATGATAGTCCTTGCCGTTCCCTTGAGGATCCTGAGAAGCCCTTTGAAGATTCAATTCTGCATAGGCTATGTCCTCCTCAGGTGCGGAAATGGAGCTTTTAGTGCCCTTAGGTTTCCCTTGCTGTCTTTTGGAGCCCTTAGCGTGATGGAGTTCTGCATAAGTTACTGCTTGGTTACTCATGTGTGCAGCTGAGTAGTGTCAGGCACCGTGCTGTCTGAACCCGCACTGAAGGGCTTGATAAATAGTGTTTGTCATGTGCTGACAAGATTGCTCGTGCAGCGACACTGGGTGGAGTGCGGGGTGAGGGACACACTCGTTTGCAGTTGAACAATGTCATCTCTGGTACTAACTTCTGTACCAGATTCCACAGACATACAACGTCAGATTCCACAGACATACTTCCACACTATCACACTAGCCAGATTAAAATTAAAATGCTATTTTAGAAACCAACAGTGTTGCACCAATTTTTTGACAATGTTAAAATCCACTATTAGTTAAAATTTAAGTGCCCTAAGATTGAAGAATGGTATTTTTAGAAGTTATAGGAATTTCCTTTTGCAAATGACTTTTATTTGTGATTTTAGACTGCTTTACTGTAAAGAAATGCAGTGCTATCAAGGTGATTTTTATTTTGAATATCTGTGGAGTTCTGAGCATCATTAAGTTTTAGAAGAAATATTTTATATGTTGCAAAATGTTTCATGACACACTAGCATTCCCCAAAGCAGAGACAATAGTGAAAACAGAAAACAAAATTAAAACATATTTTTAAAAGAGGGCTTAATGAACATCAGAAAGTGACAACTGATTTGATGGCAAAGATATGAAACCACAATTTGATAAATAAAAGTATAGATCATTTATGGAAGAGCACCGTTATTACAAACTTCTAGAAAGATCTATGATTTCAAAGGCTGTGAGGGTAGCTGTATTTGTATAGTGATGCTAATAAATCACATCAAGTTAATATCAGACTTCAGTCAGTGAGCTTGCAGTCAGGGAACTATGGAATTACTCCGGCCATCAAAGTACAAGGTGCCAACTTTAAACAGTTATTTCATGTCAATATCTGGTTTCCTAATCTAAAAGAGGAATTAAAATATGTAAAATTAAAGCATATAAAGGACTTAAACTCAATCTGACTCTTCCAAGGTCTCAATAATATATTAGTTAAATTATTTTAAACACAGTAACCATTTATCATGACTCATTTATGTCATTTAGACCATGGAACATAATTCATTACACAGGAGTATCTTTCAGGATTGAATAATTTTCCTGGCAAAGTTTTGTTCCATTTTATACAGTGTTTGGATTGTTTATAGTTCAGTGTAAGTTGGCCTCTTACAGAAGGTACCCCATGTTGTATTTTATGAAAAATCAAACTGCACTCATTTATGAAAAAATATAATGAGAAATTACATTTGTCCTTTGTAATGGTTCAATTTAAGAATCTATCATTAATTTTGGGCAAATATCAAAGAATACATAATAAATCATTGATGACAATTGATGATAAATCCAAATTAAGTGTTCTTTGCCACGAAGCTTATGTGATCTCACCCAAAATTATATTGATTAACAAACCCAATTGTGCATATGCATAAGATCTTAATGACTTCTCCACAGTTAATAATTTACATATTGTAAGATCTCTAACATATAGCATAGTCCTTCTGGTTTATTACCCTGAATTGTTGGAATGCAGATATTAATGTTCTCTGTGATATGATTGCGTGTTAGCTCTGCCTCAAGTGCATCCCACCAGCATTTGTATCTCCCACTCCCTGGGGTGGCTGGTAGAGAGACAGGGCAGGAGTGACACATACCTTCTGTTGGCCACACAGTCACACATCTTCCAGACGGAACCAGGTTACTCTCGTAAGCAGGTAATGTCTGTGGTCTCTACAGCTTGCCGGCCCTGTGAGAGCTCAGAGTGAGGCAATAGTGGAAAAAGTAGATTTCTCATCAATGTGTCACCTAAACTTTGAACAGGAAATTCTTACTGTTGGGCTATTTTGAAGAAACTGTATGTCATCACACACCTCCAGAAGGTAGGAGACTTTGATCTTGATGCCATTTAGTTTGTCCCTTGGCAAGTCCCTCTGACAAATTCTATGTTCCACAAGACATTGGGGTCAGAGACGTGACCACCCAGGCTGTAATTTGCTCTCATCTGAATCACAAACAAGGACTGAGGCCTTGTTTAAAATAGCTTAGATATCTCTGTTTTACTTAGGCAAGGTTGCTGCCCCTTGATATTATGCCCTCCTTTATCTTATGCCCCTGATGTGTCATTTCTTCTATACTGAAAGTATCCTAAAATCATCATCCTGTCAACAGATATTTAATGATAGTTGACATTAATAGTGAAGAATGACTACGTTTCCAATTTTATTGTAACTGGCATAAAGACATCAATCTTTGAATGGATCTACTCAATTTCTACCTTTGTTTTTCATAAGCCTACATTCTGTCTGTATTATTTGTAAATAATAAGTTGTTAAAGTTTCTGCTAGAAAAAAATAAATCCCCAAGGGAAGGATAAAACATTGAATAATATTGGGCACAAGCACCATGCCAGAGAGTTGAATAGGAAATAATTATTCATGTTATTTATTTATTCTTCTCCGTTGCATCAATGGAATTCTTTTCCTTTGTTTTTCCAACGATTGAATTTGATTTGCTAATACTTTTGGGCATATTTATACGTATGTCTCTATTGGCCTGGAGTTCTGTTTTGTTTTCTTCTTTGCAAGCTTGGTGGACAATAGTAGTTTTATTTTCATTTTTCATTTATTTATTTATTTTTTATGCTGTATAGTTGAAATCCGATCCCATATTAAAATTCAGGCGTAGATGTAATGATTCATCATTTATACACATTATGCTATGATCATCATGATAAATCATCATGATCACCCATCACCGTACAACATGAATACAATGGTATTGACTCTATTCCCTATGCTGTAATTTACATTCCAGTGAATTATTTATTTCATAACTGAACATTTGTACCACTTACTTTCTCTCATGTCAGCCATCCCCCTCCCCACTTCCCTACAGAAGTCACAACTTTGGTCTCTCTGTATGTGAATCTTTTGGGTTTGTTTCTTTGTTTGTTTTTGATTTGACATCATTAGGTAAATCATATGGTATTTGCCTTTCTCTGACTCATTTCATTTAGCATAAAACCCTCTAGGTCCTTCAATAGTGTCAACAATGAGAAAAATGTTTTGAGGAACCTCTATCCTGTTATCCATTGTGACTACACCAATTCAAATTCCCACCCACAGTGCATTAGATTCCGTTTTCTCCACATGCACACCAATATTTGTTACTTCGTGTCGTTTTGATTCAGACACGTGTGAGGTGATATGTCATTGTGGTTTGGATTTACATTTTCCTGATGATTAGTGGTAGTGAGCAGCGTTTCACATGTGTGTTGGCGATCTGGATATCTTTTTTCAGAAAATATCTCTTCAGGTCCTCGGTCCATTTTGTAATCACGTGTTTGCATTCCTTTTGTGTTAAGAAGTAGGAATTCTTCTTATAATTTGGATATTAACTCCTTGCTGGAACATCATTTGTAAATATCATCTCCTACTCAGTAGGTTGCCTTTTTGTTTTATTGACAGTTTCCGTGGCTGGGCAAATGTCTTGTTTTTTGGGATATTGTTTAATTTTTTCATTTTGCTGCCGTTCTCTATGAAAACAGATCCGAATGAATAAAGATGAAACCTTAGCTCCAAGAGATTATTGCCTGTGCTTTCTCTAGGAGTTATTGTTTCTGTCATGTACCTATGTTTTTAATTCTTTTTAGGCTTATTTTTCAGCATGGTGTAAAAAAGTAGACCAGTTTTATTCCCTAGCACACAGGTTTCTAGTTTTATAAACACCATTTCCTGAAGACTCTCTTTTCCCTGTGTCTCTTCATGCCCTCTTGTCACATATTAATTGGCCATATAGACACACATTTGTTTCTGGGCTTTCTATTCCATTCCTTCGATCTATGTGTCTATTATTGTTCCATTCTGCTTGGATTGCTAGAGCTTTGTAGTAGAATCTGAAATGTAAGAGCATGTTTCTTCCAGATTTATTCTGCTTTCTTTTATTTTTTTAATTTTTAAAAATGTTTTATTTCTGAGACAGAAAGAGAGAGAGAGAGCATGAGCAGGGGAGGTTCAGAGAGAGAAGGAGATACAGAATCTGATGCAGGTTCCTGGCTCCGAGCTAACTGTCAGCACAGAGCCCGACATGAGGCTGGAACCCACAAACCACGAGATAATAACGTGAGCCGAAGTTGGATGCTTTACCGGCTGACCACCCAGGCTGCCCTGTTTTAGTCTTCTTTCTAATCATTGCTTTGGATATTTAGAATTTCCTGTCATTCTGTACAAACTTTCAGAAATTTATTCTAGTTCTGTGAAAATGCTATTGGTATGTCCATAAGGTTTACTTTGAATCTATTGGTCATTTTGAATAATATGGATATTTTCACAATATTAAATCTTCCATCCCATAAGCATCGTATATAATTCCCATTTATTTATTCCTGTCATCTCAAGTTTCTCCAAACAATCGCTTATAGGTTTCGGAGACTAAGAATATCACCTTTTTGGCTAAAATATTCTTTGTTAATTCATTTTGATAAATTCAATTAAAAATGGGATTGTTTTAATTTCTCTTTCTCATAGTTTATTACTACTCTATAGAGGTCCAATGGATTTCTATCTATTAATTTCCTATTCTGCAACTTAACTGATTTCACTTAATAGTTCTAATAGGTTTTATAGTGTAGTCAGTTTTTTTTTACCCTAGAGAATTATGTCATCTGCAAATCATGACTTTTTTGCATTTTGTTTATCAGCATTCATGTCCTTTATCGATTTTTCATTTCAAATTTTGGTGTCTAGGGCCTCCAGTATTGTGTTGATAAAAGTGGTAAAAGGGGACTTCCTCGTCTTGATATTGATCTGAAAGTAAAAGCTTTTGACTTTTCAGTGTTGAGAATGATGTTAATAGTGGAGTTGTAATATATGAACTTTATTATAAGGAGGGACATTTCTTCTCTACACATCTTCTGGGAAGTTTTTATTATAAGTGGATGTTGAATTTTGTCAAGTGCTTTCTCTGCATCTATTGTGATTACCATATGATTTTGATCTTTTAGTCAGTTAGTCTGCTGTGTCAAGTTGATTGATTTGCAGGTATTGAACCATCCTTGCATAAGTAATATAAACTCACTTAAGCATGGAGTACCATCCTTTTCTTTTATTGTGAAATTCAGTTTGCTAATTTGGAAGAGGATTGTTGCATGTTGATCAGGGATATTGGTCTATAGTGTGTGTATGTGTGTGTGTGTGTGTGTTGTGTCCTTGTAGTGTTTAATTCAAGGTAATGATGTTCCTATGGAATGAATTTGGAAACTTTCATTGTCTTCAGTTTTGATACTAACTTAAGACGAAGAGGCATTTACTCCCTTCGACAGTCTTATAGAATTGGGGTGCCTCTATAGCTCAGTCAGTTGAGGCTCTAACTTGTGATTTCAGCTTAGGTCATGATCTCAGTGTCAGAGGATCGAACCTCAAGTCCAGCTCTGCACTGAGCATGCTACCTGCTTGAGATTCTCTTCCTCTCTCTCTCCCTTCCCTGAGCCTGCTCATGGACTCTCTTCTCTCTAAAAAATTAAAATAAGAGGAAAGATGGAGGAGAAGCAGGAAGCACCTTACATTTCGCCTGCACCCATCTCTCAAACAGAGAAGGCCTGAAGTCGTAGGACACGGAGCCACAGGAGTTTGGGAATAGAAAGAGAGCACACTGGGAAGGAAACCTCATAAGTGGTGAGTGCGAACTGGGGAAGACAAAAGCCGGACGGGACCAGAGACAGAGAGGGAGGGGAGGGAGCCCAGCTTGCAGGCAGCTGCGGTGGTGAGTGATAAACCGGCAAGTGGTGGTGAGCTGCTCTAAGTCCAAGGGAAAGGAAAGAAAAGCTGAGATTGTTCATAGAACCGTCCCTGGAGAAGAAAAAAGACCTGGGCTTGGAAAGACAGTGTTTCCTAGCTCTGGCTGGGGTGCTGACTTTAAACTAGGTGCTCTGGTCCCAGAAGGTGCCAGGAAAAACTGAACTGCCGCGCGTCCAGCACCATCCATGGAGGTGACGGCCCGTTAACCAGCAGGAACGCCTGCGGAGGTGGTCCCGGCGCCGGGTGAAGCAGCAGGGGCGCGCGCGACATCGCCCCACTGAAGCGGCGGTGGCGGCCACCTGGTGAAGTGCTGCTAAACTTGTGAAGCGGCGGCTGCGTGAGCGAAAAGTTGCCTGCTGAAGCCGCGGCGGCGGGTAAAGCGGTTGCTGCAGGGTGAGGCGAAGAGGACTCTGCGGACCTGAAGTTGCTCTCTTCCCCAAACGCGCTCGGCTTGTATTGCTGCTGGACCCCGGGCAGATCTGAGGCTGCGGCACTTCCCCCACCCTCCACTTAACCCCAGGCAACAGGAAGCAGCGACCAGCTCAACTGTTAATGGCGGCACAACAAAGCCTCTCAGGGGTAATCAGACCTGATAGTTTATCTGGATAACACCACCTTCTTTCTCTCACCTCTGCAAACATATACCACCCCTTAGCTCTTTGAGAAAAGCTTCTTATCCCTTCTGCCTGTTCATTCTATCTCCAATCTTGCCTCATCTCTGCCCTATCATCTCTCTCTTTCTCTAGCTCTTCAACAAGCACTGCATACACCTGGCTATTTAATTGTAACTGGGAAATCTGGTTATATGCTTTAAACCGATCTTTGTCTATCGGTTTTCTTCATTCTTCCCTTCTCTTTTCTTTTTTTTGTGACTTTTTAATGTATTTTTATTTTCTATCATTCGCCTTTCCTCCTCCGTCTTTTCTTATTGCTTTTTAGTTTCACCCCTTGGTTAGCGTGATTGTTGGATTTGTTTGTACGTTTGTGTCCCTCTGTTCCCGGTGTGTTTGTCTGTGTTTTCTTCTCCAGGGCTACCTCAAGAAACAAGCCAAAGTACACATGGTGGAGAATCCCAAATAGCACTACGAGTAGGAAAATAAAATAACCAAGGTCTCAACAAGAGAGACCAAGAGATACCATTCAAAGAACACTTTCTGAACAGACAAGCCCTGAACAGTCAAAGAATCTTCTTGGGTACAGCAGCTCTCACAGGTGCAGAGTACATAACAAGTCTTTAAAACTAACAAGAGACTAACCAAAATGATGAAATGAAAGAGCTCTCCTCCAAAGACACTCCAAGAAGAATTGACAGCTAATGAACTGCTCAAAACAGATATAAGCAACATAACTGAACAAGATTTTAGAACAATAATCATAAAATTAATCGCTGGAATTAAAAAAAGCATAGAGGATCTTAAAGCAACTATGGCTAAAACTAATATGGAGAATAAAAATAGGCATGATGAATTAAAAAATGCGATAAATGAAATACATAATAAACTGGAGGTACCCAATGCATGGATTGAAGAGGCAGAAAAGAGAATATGTGTTTGAGAAGACATCATTATAGAAAAACAAGAAGCTGACAAAAAAAGAGAAAACTGATCCAGGAACATGAAAGAACAGTTCGAGAGCTCAGTGATACAGTCAAATGCAACAATATCCGTATCATAGGAATCCCAGAAGAGGAAGAGGGAGGGAAAGGTGCTGAAGGAGTTCTGGAACAAATTATAGAAGAGAACTTCCCCAACGTGGAGAGGGAAGTAGAAGTTGAAATACAAGAGGCTCAGAGGACCCCCCTCAGACGTAATTTGAATCGACCATCTGGATGACATATCAGAGTGAAAATGGCAAAATATAAGGACAAAGAGAATTTTGAAAGCAGCTAGGGAGAAAAGGGCCCTAACATATAACGGAAAACCTATAAGAGTGGTGACAGACCTATCTACTGAAACTTGGCAGGCCAGAAAGGAATGGCAAGAGATCTTCAATGTGACGAACAGAAAAAATATGCAGACAAGAATCCTCTGTCCAGCAAGCCTGTCATTCAAAATAGAAGGAGAGATAAAAGTCTTTCCAAATAAACAAAAATTGAGAGAATTTCTCACCACTAAGCCAGCCCTACAAGACATCCTGAGGGCGACTCTCTGAGGGAAGTATTGCAAGGAAAGAAGACACCACCACAAGCATAAACCCCACAAAGGGCACAATGACTCTAAACCCACATATCTCAATAATAACACTGAATGTAAATGGGCTGAATGCTCCAATCAAAAGACATAGGGTAGCAGAATGGATAAACAAACAAAATCCATCTATATGCTGTCTACAAGAAACTCATTTTAGACTGGAAGATACCTTCAGATGAAAAGTAAGGGGATGGAGAAATATATATCATGCTACAGGAAATAAAAAGAAAGCCGGAGTAGCTATACTTACATAGGACAAACTGGACTTTAAATTAAAGACAATAACAAAGGATGAAGATGGGCATTATATAATAATTACAGGGTCCATCCATCAGGAAGAACTAACAATCATAAATGTCTATGCACCGAATATGGGGGCACCTAAATATTTAAAACAATTAATCACAAAAAGAAACAAACTAATAAATAAGAATGTGCTAATAGCAGGGGACAATAATACACAACATACAGCAATGGATAGATCAAACAGACAGAAAATCACTAAAGAAACAATGGACTTGAATGACACAATGGTCCAGATGGATCTGACAGATATATCTAGAACTCTGCATCCTGAGGCCGAGGAATTCACTTTCTTCTCAAGTGAGCATGGCACATTCTCCAAGATAGATCATATACTGGGCCATAAAGCAGCCCTCAATAAATATAAAAGAATTGAGATCATACCATGCACACTCTCAGATCATAATGCTTTGAACCTTGAAATGAATCACAGGAAGAAGTCTGGAAAACCTTAAAAACATGGAGGTTAAAGAACACCCTACTAAAGAATGAATGGGCCAATCAGGCAATTAGAGAAAAAATTTAAAAAGATATGGAAACAAATGAAAATGAAAACAAAAATCCAAAATATATGGGATGCAGCAAAGGCAGTCCTAAGAGGAAAGTACATTGCTCTCCAGGCCTATTTCAAGAAACTAGAATAAACGCAAGTCCAAAACCTAACAGCTCACCTAAAGGAACTATAGGCAGAGCAACAAGAACACCCTAAACCCAGTAGATGAAGAGAAATACTAAAAATCAGAGCAGAAATAAACAACATAGAGACAAAATTGAACAGATCAATGACACCAAGAGTTGGTTCTCTGAAAAAATAAACAAAATTGACAAACCTCTAGCAGACATCTCAGAAACAACACCCAGTGCTCATCCCAACAAGTGCCCTCCTCCATGCACATCTCCCCCTCCCCCCCACACCCATCAGTCCTCAGTTTGTTCTCAGTATTCAAGAGTCTTTCAAGTTTTGCCTCTCTCCCCCTCCCCCACCATTTCCCCCCTTCTTCTCCCCCTTGGTCCTCCGTTAAGTTCCTCCTAATCCTCCTATACGTGCAAACATATGGTATTTGTCCTTCTCTGCCTGACTTATTTCGCTCAGCATCACACCCTCAAGGTCCATCCATGTTGCTACACATGGCCAGATTTCGTTGTTTCTCATTGCCATGTAGTGTTCCATCGTATAGATAAACCACATCTTCTTGATCCATTCGTCTGTTGATGTACACTTAGACTTTTTCCATGTTTTGGCTATTGTTGAGAGTGCTGCTATGAACACTGGGGTACATGTGCTCCTATGCATCAGCACTCCTGTGTCCCTTGGGTAAATTCCTAGTAGTGCTATTGCTGGGTCATAGGGGAGTTTTTTGTTAACTTCTTAAGGAAATTCCACACTGTTTTCCAGAGGGGTTGCACCAGCTTATATTCCCACCAACAGTGTAGGAGGGTGCCCATTTCTCCACATCCTCGTCAGCATCTAGAGTTCTCTGATTTGCTCATTTTAGCCAATCTGACTGGCGTAAGGTGGTATCTCAGTGTCGTTTTGATCTGTATTTCTCTGGTGAGGAGGGATGCTGAGCATCGTTTCCTGTGTATGTTGGCTATCTGGATGTCCTCTTTGGAGAAGTGTCTGTTCATATCTTCTGCCCATTTCTTTACTGGGTTGTTTGTTGTTCCGGTGTGGAGTTTGGTGAGTTACTTATAGATTTTGGATATTAACCCTTTATCTGATATGTCATTTGCAACTATCTTTTCCCATTCCGTTGGTTGCCTATTAGTTTTCTGGGTTGTTTCCTTTGCTGCGCAGAAGCTTGTAGTCTTGATGAGGTCCCAATCGTTTATTTTTGCTCTTGATTCTTTTGCTTTTGGGAATGTGTCAAGTAAGAAGTTGCTGCGGTGGAGGTCAAGGAGGTTGTTTCCTGCTTTCTCCTCTAGGGTTTTGATGGTTTCCTGTCTCACGTTCATGTCCTTTATCCATTTTGAGTTTACTTTTGTGTATGGTGTGAGAAATTGATCTAGTTTCATTCTTCTGCATGTTGCTGTCCAGTTCTCCCAACACCATCTGTTAAAGAGGCTGTCTTTTTTCCATTGGATATTCTTTCCTGCTTTGTCAAGATTAGTTGGCTGTACAGTTTTGGGTCCACTTCTGAGTTCTCAATTCTATTGCATTGGTCTATGTGTCTGTTTTTGTGCCAATACCATACTGTCTTGATGATGACAGCTTTGTAGTAGAGACTAAAGTCTGGGATGGAGATACCTCCCGTTTTGGTTTTATTTTTCAGTATTACTCTGGCTATTCGGGGTCTTTGGTGGTTCCATACAAATTTTAGGATACTTTGCTCTAGCTTTGAGAAGTATGCTTGTGCAATTTGGTTGGAATTGCATTGAATGTGTAGATTGCTTTGGGTAGTAATGACATTTTAACTATATTTATTCTTCCAATCCATGAGCATGGAATGTTTTTCCATTTCTTTGTGTCTTCTTCAATTTCCTTCATAGTTTTCTATAGTTTTCATCATACGGATCTCTTGTATCCTTGGTTGGGTTTTTTTTTTTCTTTTTATTTTTTCTTTCTTTCTTTTTTTTTTCTTTCACATCATCTGCAGGTAGGTTTATTCCTAGGTACTTTATGGTTTTTTGTGCAATTGTGAATGGGATCAGTTTCTTGATTTCTCTTTCTGTTGTTTCATTGTTGGTGTATAAAAATGCAACCGATTTCTGTACGTTGATTTTGTACCCTGCAACTTGGCTGAATTCTTGGATGAGTTCTAGTAGGCTTCTGGTGGAGTCTGTCGGGTTTTCTATGTAGAGTATCATGTCGTCTGTGAAAAGTGAAAGTTTGACTTCCTCTTTGCCAATTCTGATACCTTTGATTTCCTTTTGTTGTCTGATGGCTGATGCTAGGACTTCCAGCACTATGTTAAACAAAGTGGTGAGTGGACATCCCTGTTGTGCTCCTGATCTTAGGGGAAACCTCTCAGTTTTTCCCAATTGAGGATGATGTTAGCTGAAGGCTTCTCATAGAT